AAAACCCTTTTGCAATTATGTTAGCACAGCTGAAAACTGTTGTGCTGATTAAAGAAGCAATAAATATGGTCTTCTTGAGACTAGTTGAGTATCTGGAGCATTAGCAATTGTGGGTTCGATTACAGGCTCAAAATGGCCAGAAACAAATAACTTTCTTCTGAAACTCGTCAGTCTATTCTTGTTCTGAGAAATTAAGGCTATTCAATGCGAGAAATTGCCAAGAAACTGAAGATCTCGTACAACGCTATGTACTACTCCCGCAAAACACCAGTCTCAACGTCAACAGTGAAGAGGCGACTCCGGGATGCTGACCTTCTAGGCAGAGTTGCAAAGAAAAAGCCATATCTCAGACTGGCCAATAAAAATAAAAGATTAAGATGGGCAGTCTGAGATATGGCTTTTTCTCTGCAACTCTGCCTAGAAGGTCAGCATCCCGGAGTCGCCTCTTCACTGTTAACGTTGAGACTGGTGTTTTGTGGGTACTATTTAATGAAGCTGCCAGTTGAGGACCTGTGAGGCGCCTGTTTCTCAAACTAGACACTAATGTATTTGTCCTCTTGCTCAGTTGTGCACCGGGGCCTCCCACTCCTCTTTCTATTCTGGTTAGAGCCAGTTTGCGCTGTTCTGTGAAGGGAGTAGTACACAGCGTTGTACGAGATCTTCAGTTTCTTGGCAATTTCTCGCATGGAATAGCCTTCATTTCTCAGAACAAGAATAGACTGACGAGTTTCAGAAGAAAGTTATTTGTTTCTGGCCATTTTGAGCCTGTAATCAAACCAAACAATTGCTGATGCTCTAGATAATCAACTAGTCTCAAGAAGGCTAGTTTTATTGCTTCTTTAATCAGCACAACAGTTTTCAGCTGTGCTAACATAATTGCAAAGGGGTTTTCTAATGATCACTTAGCCTTTTAAAATGATAAACTTGGATTAGCAAACACAACGTGCCATTGGAACACAGGACTGATGGTTGCTGATAATGGGCCTCTGTATGCCTATGTAGATATTCCATTAAAAATCAGCCATTTCCAGCTACAATAGCCATTTACAACATTAACCATGTCTACACTGTATTTCTGATCAATTTGATGTTATTTTAATGGACAAAAAAATTGCTTTTCTTTCGAAAACAAGGGAATTTCTAAGTTACCCCAAACTTTTGAACGGTAGTGTATATATTTTTTTACATTATTTGTATTGCTCTAGGGTTATATATTTATTGCTTGGATAACCTTATTTACTATTATGTATTGATTTCTTTTTCACTCTTTATGCGGTGCACAGAATGGAATAAATATCACAGTGAATTATTGTAATGTTTGTTTATGTGTCAATTAACCCCATAAGGGATGGGTTGCCAATTGGCGATATGACACGAAAATAAAATGTAATTCATTCATTTGGTAGTGAATGTCCTTAGGAAGTGCAAAAACATGGCTTATTACCTGATAAAAGTAGCACTGTAATGGAGCTTCATCAACAAACAATCCTCCTAGGATAAAGAGATCATTCTTCTCTGATGTCAGGCTGACATGGTTGCGTAGTATCTGCTCAGTCAATGCAGCAAGGAAGCATTCGTTCTCAACACCATCATAGGCCACTGCAGCAGTGTCATTGATCATCAAGACAAGATCCTTGGAATACATACCAATTCTCTTGATATCTTTCAGGTAACCAGGTATCCTGTTATCCTCTTCTACTTCACCATTAGCTGCTTCCTTCCCTGACTCTCCTGTCTTCTTTTCAGGGAGTTTCCCAGCAAAGGCATCTTTGATTACTTAGATTTTTTAGGAGCTCAGGGTCAGACATGATGATGTCATCCTTTTCCACTTTCTCATTGAAGTACTTCTCTGGGAGTAAACGGAAACGGACGCAGTCAAACGCCTCATCCAGAGTCTTGACACGGTTCTCCTTGTCTTTTCTAATCCATTTAATCAGGGATTCAAACACCACCTCCTCCTCCTTTTCTACATTGAGAGAGTCTGCTCCTATGACAGCAAAAAGTTCATGAGAGGCAAGCTCTAAGAAGTCATCCTCCTTGGCCAGGGTTTCAAAACGATCTACAATGTAGTCTCGACTTGCCAATGCCAGTCTAGGACAGTTGAGCACCAGTGCCATTCTGAATATGGCCATACAGTTACCCGGGGACAGTTTCTTCTGTAGGAAATTCACACACACAGTGAACACTGAGGGGATCTGGAAATGGTTGGCCACAGCAAAGATATCCTGCACATTGTCATCTGTGATGTCAATCTCTGCTGAATACATGTAATTCACAATAATATCCATGATTGTGGGATCCAAATTCTCCAGAACAACCTCCTTATCCATTTCCTTAGCGTCGCTTGAGAAGTAAAGCTCTCGGAAATAAGGACTACAGGCTGCCAAAAGGAGTCTATGGCAGGGCAAGCTTCTGTCTCCCACTTTCAGAATGCAGTCAATAAACTTGTTCTCGTTCAGAAGATCTTTCAGGCCATCCTGGAGCAGGGTGCTCTGAAACAGGCGCAGATCTTCCCTTACGGCTTTTGGATCCATGCTGTAAGAAACGTGACTTGACAAAGGACGTGGATGCAACTTTCAGCACACTGTACCAGTTGGACTGAGCAGTATTGAGCCCCAGATCAGAAGACCCTTCAATATAACTTTGCCCTCTAAATATAGCCAACCACCCCTTTCAGGAAGCATTCAGGTTGGCCAAATCGGAAAGCAGTCTGCTTCACACAGCTGTCACAGAGTGAAAGAAACAACTGTGCACTCGTCACTGTGATAGTTGGCTATAATAATGTTACAGTGGGGAGAACAAGTATTTGATACACTGCCGATTTTGCAGGTTTTCCTACTTAGAAAGCATGTAGAGGTCTGTAATTTTTATCATAGGTACACTTCAACTGTGAGAGACGGAATCTAAAACAAATCCAGAAAATCACATTGTATGATTTTTAAGTAATTAATTTGCATTTTATTGCATGACATAAGTATTTGATCACCTACCAATCAGTAAGAATTCCAGCTCTCACAGACCTGTTAGTTTTTCTTTAAGAAACCATCCTGTTCTCCACTCATTACCTGTATTAACTGCACCTGTTTGAACTCATTACCTGTATAAAAGACACTTGTCCACACACTCAATCAAACAGACTCCAACCTCTCCACAATGGCCAAGACCAGAGAGCTGTGTAAGGACATCAGGGATAAAATTGTAGACCTGCACAAGGCTGGGATGGGCTACAGGACAATAGGCAAGCAGCTTGGTGAGAAGGCAACAACTGTTGGCGCAATTATTAGAAAATGGAAGAAGTTCAAGATGACGGTCAATCACCCTCGGTCTGGGGCTCCATGCAAGATCTCACCTCGTGGGGCATCAATGATCATGAGGAAGGTGAGGGATCAGCCCAGAACTGCACGGCAGGACCTGGTCAATGACCTGAAGAGAGCTGGGACCACAGTCTCAAAGAAAACCATTAGTAACACACTACGCCGTCATGGATTAAAATCCTGCAGGGCACGCAAGATCCCCCTGCTCAAGCCAATGCATGTCCAGGCCCGTCTGAAGTTTGCCAATGACCATCTGGATGATCCAGAGGAGGAATGGGAGAAGGTCATGTGGTCTGATGAGACAAAAATAGAGCTTTTTGGTCTAAACTCCACTCGCCGTGTTTGGAGGAAGAAGAAGGATGAGTACAACCCCAAGAACACCATCCCAACCGTGAAGCATGGAGGTGGAAACATCATTCTTTGGGGATGCTTTTCTGCAAAGGGGACAGGACGACTGCACCGTATTGAGGGGAGGATGGATGGGGCCATGTATCGCGAGATCTTGGCCAACAACCTCCTTCCCTCAGTAAGAGCATTGAAGATGGGTCGTGGCTGGGTCTTCCAGCATGACAACGACCCGAAACACACAGCCAGGGCAACTAAGGAGTGGCTCCGTGAGAAGCATCTCAAGGTCCTGGAGTGGCCTAGCCAGTCTCCAGACCTGAACCCAATAGAACATCTTTGGAGGGAGCTGAAATTCCGTATTGCCCAGCGACAGCCCCGAAACCTGAAGGATCTGGAGAAGGTCTGTATGGAGGAGTGGGCCAAAATCCCTGCTGCAGTGTGTGCAAACCTGGTCAAGACCTACAGGAAACGTATGATCTCTGTAATTGCAAACAAAGGTTTCTGTACCAAATATTAAGTTCTGATTTTCTGATGTATCAAATACTTATGTCATGCAATAAAATGCAAATTAATTACTTAAAAATCATACAATGTGATTTTCTGGATTTTTGTTTTAGATTCCGTCTCTCACAGTTGAAGTGTACCTATGATAAAAATTACAGACCTCTACATGCTTTGTAAGTAGGAAAACCTGCAAAATCGGCAGTGTATCAAATACTTGTTCTCCCCACTGTATGACTACACACAACATTTGTAACAGTGACTGGTGGAGTTTTGCGTAGTGATGAGAAAACATCCTCATATTCAGTCATGTTTTAGGAAAGAACATCCTAGTTCATAAGGGTTCTCCCTTTTATCACTTACTACAAATCCTTGCTGTATAAATCAGTTATTCTGTCATTAAAAGTATGTAAGACAAAAAATAAAGATGAAGTGAACTTTAAAGTCCTCTGAAGCTATCATACCTTTGATAGAAATTACTATGATCCCTTTTAGTCCTGAAAATCTTTGGTGATTCATTTGTGTGCGACTCATTGAGCATGTTTTATATTTAAATGTGAGTATATTTCCAAGGGACTGACCTTCCTCGTACGAAGGGCCAATGAGCAGCTGCAGCTACAACAGGGGCTGTCTGTCCTCATGAACCATTTGTAAAATACTAAGCCTGCAGATCATTGTTCACAGAACAAATTACTCATTTCAAAAACACATTTAAGAAGACGTTGTCACAACTAAGAAAGGTCAGACCAAATGTATAATATACTGAAATACTTTATTTCTTCAATCTAAATCATTGAATTTTGAATTGTATTTTTAACATTTACAATGTATATTTAAATTGTACAAATAAACATTAACACAAACTACACTTATATAGAATTGTTTTTATTTAGAAATCACTTAAAATTCACGTCACTCATACACAGATCAGGTCTACATCTTTACTATATACATCAAGACCTATCAATAAATAGACAAAATATGTTGTACATTTACAAATGGTTATAAACAACTGTGTCAATTGTGCCATTTGAAAGGGAGGATTTGAGGAACTAGGTTAATCTAACTCGCCTATCAGTGTTCATGCTTCAGCCCATGACTTCCCAGAGTCCTTGAAGTGTGAACCCCTCCTTCAACTTTTCAATTGCAATTCCCAGCTCCTCAGAAAACATAGGTTCCCGGTCTTGTTGCTTATTTCCATCAGCAAAGTAAGCCTTAAAAGCAAACAAATAGAAATCAGTTATCACAATGGCATTAATAGGAGGTTAAGTGTTTAAACCATCTTACAAAGTACACCTCAGTCGTCTGTATAGACATGAGAGGCACTAGGCAACACCAAAGCCATGTTTGCAGTATGTTGTGTAACATGACTTTATCAACCTGCTATTTGCAGATTGTGAAAACAAATTGCGGACTCCCAGAGGAGGGATGACAGTTTGGCTAAGCACACTCACAGTGAAAGCATCAGTCTGCTCATCGGGCTCAATTTCCACATCATCAGGGGGCTGGTCCACTGTCAGCTCCTCCAGTGGCTGAGGCTGGAATCATTGTTGGGAGAGAGAATCCATGGCAAAGCCATTATGCATCTAACTGTGTTTATTATGATATTTTCAACAATGTGTGGTCACATAGGCGTACCTTTTCCTCCATCTCATAGTCCACTCCAAAGATGGGGTTGGCAGAGTAGACTTTGTGCAGAGAGTTGATCTCTTTAACTGCATCTTGAAGCTTATCCATTGGGTCGATCTTAAATCCAAGCACATATCCTCCAGTCTATAAACAAAGAAGACGTATGTACTCAGGAGTATGTCACAACAGTCAATGGCATGCAAGAGCCAAGTTCTCTGTATTTTCTGTCATGTTTTAAAGCTGATACTACAACACAGATATTCTACATATCCTATTAAATGACTAGTTCTATATGTAATTCTATGGTACACAATAAGTCAAATACCATCGGATACATCTCAAATGATCACAATTACCTGATGAAAGCTTTCTATCACCAAAGCCAGACCAAACTTTGAGTCTCTTACTCTGATGGAACTCTTTGGGAAAGAAAGTGACAATAATGATCACAATTACCTGCTGAGAGCTTTCTATCACCAAAGCTAGGCCAAACTTTGAGTCTCTTATTCTGATGGAACGCTACGGGGAAGAGAGGTGACAATAAGGAAAATAGATGATCACTTTCAAAACCCTAAAATGTGTCGTCAATTTGTTAGGCTGGACATGACAGCAGATTTTGTATTACTTCCTTTGTTTATGCCACTTACAATTTGAAGATAGGGAATGCTGACGTTGAAGCTCTCGTTCATATTGGCATGCCACACAATCCGAACATTAGTGATGAAAAAGGTCCCTAGATTACCCTACAACACACAATTCAGGACAGTAAGTTTCATTGAGAGCATGAAACATGTTTTATATAGAATACTTCGCGAAGGATTAGCTATTTAGAGGAATTGATGTGTACCTGGTCACTGGATAAATTCCACACCCCGTTGATTTTGTCATACACTTCCTCTCGAGGCAAAAGCCTCAGTTGTTTATTTTGAATGAGAGCTCCTCTCAGCTTCAGGTCACGGTACATTTTAGAGGTCTCATAAGCCCTGGAGCAGAGGGATATGGACAATTAGTTGACGAGACATTCAATTCAAATCAGCAGTGACTTGACTGAATCATATCTCATTACATAATCTGGAAAACTGTAACAACTTCCACAAGTGTAATTTCTTGTTCTCTAGGTATAAATAAATACCTGTGAACAGCAATGACAGATGTAAATAGTCTTGGACTCCCTGGAACCACATTGGTGAAAATGAACTCAAATCTTGTATTGTTAGACTTTGTCAAGATATACAGTGCTTCAGTCTGGCCTCTCAATTTCTGAAAAATAACATCCTTAGTATGGTAAATAGACATCTAGGCAAGTCTACTCATAAAGTAAATAAATAGACAGTCCTATACAGTATACTTACAGAGTTAGCTGTCCTTGTTGTGATGTTAATAATGGAATTGTATCCAACAGCTATGAAACAAAGAACATTGTCACTCAGTGTTGTTGTGGTCCTCTGTAGCTCAGCTGGTAGAGCACGGCGCTTGAAACGCCAAGGTAGTGGGTTCGATCCCCGGGACCACCCATACACAAAAATGTATGCACGCATGACTGTAAGTCGCTTTGGATAAAAGCGTCTGCTAAATGGCATATTATTATTGTTTGATTTCAAATTTTTTGGAGAAACTATACTAGCTGGGTTGTTCTACGAAAAGAGTGCCTTTTGCGTTTTGACATTTTAAGTAGAAATTGTGCACCAATATAGAATTTTAAAAGCCTGTTATATTAAATGAAGTGCCCTTTAATATAGACCACATGGAGATTTCAATAACTCTGGAGAAAAAAATACTTGCTAAAGTCCCAAAATGCAGCATTTTGACATGTCCCTCCGTGCACAGTACACCCTCTGTGACTTTTAACCCACTTAACCCCAACATTTCTCAAAGTTTTCACCATCATTGTAAAGCCCTAGTTATTTTTGTTGCCTTGACAAAGTCATTTCAGAAAATTATTATTTATTTAATGTGATTTACATCTGTCCCTCATTTTAAGGTCAACCCTGCTATGTGAACTGAACTCTCATTTTAATATGGTGAAACTATTCCTTTAAAAATATATTTTCCTAAAGAAACATTGGACATCTAACAGTTAAATCATATTGTCAAAGCAGGTAAGCTGGTTTTACTCTTTTTGGCCATTTTCTGGTGGAATATGAGCAGGTCGGGCATAACACGTCAACACTGTTACTCAGATGAACAGAGCAGAAAATGTTTCAAATTTTTTTTTTTATAGCTTGCATTCAATTGCCACTCCCTGTGTTGCACACAACAAGATTCCATTTCCCCTGTCAGAACAGGATTTATGTCTGATTTAATAAGAAATCATCAACCCTGTTACAGTCAACCCTGTTACTTTATTTGGCACTTACTAAAGTAATTGCATTTAAAACCTCTTGAGATTGGAAAACGTGTTTTTTAAAAGTTGAACATGTTCTTTGTATGACAGAAGGTTAAAATTAGGTGGAATCCAAAGTTACACTTCTCAAAAGGCACCGAACTGGTGGAACGACCCAGGTATCACTTCTGATTATCTTTGTGGCCCACAGTAGTACCATCATAATCCAAAAGAGGGCTAAATTAATTGAGATGAGAATAATAATGTTTTCCCTTTGAAGAGTGGATGCTCCACTAGCCATGTCAAGGAAAGATAAATAAAATGTACGTAACTAGCTTGGTCTAGGTGTACTCACACAAATTGACTCTTGGCAGAGCCAAAGAATGCCAGATGATCCTCAGATTTGTTACCAGGAGCCTCCCTGCAAGTAAGGAGTAAGTATTGTATAATTAGTGCAAACGCCCATAACCACATGGTTGCTGGTTCAAGTCCCACATAGTCTGGCTGTATACATCTCCCCCTCAATTGCTACATTGGTGTCAGTAGTGGGATAGACATGCTACATTAACGTTACCTCGATCCCCATTATTTCCTTTGGTGTCTTCAATGGAATCAAGGCAGTCTATCAAGACCTCGCCAGGTCGCGTCTTCATTTGCCTGTAAATAAAAACAGTTGTAGCTAGTCAGTGTTTTCCTATCTAACTAGCTAGCAAGCCAGCTAGCTATATTAATTCTAGCCAGTAGCTGCTTTTAGCAACATGAGTGTACTTACATATACTAGCGTTGCTCCCTATTGTATTTGGCTGCACAAAAACAGTCAGCGGGAAGCCAGAAGTTAAATAACATTTAATTTCAACTTACTGTGCCAGTGGGCAGGACGGTTGGTCATTATGACAGGGGAAATTTGAGACAAAATATCTAAAGGACTGTATTATTAAACAGACTTCCAAAACGTGGGTCTGTTGTAGATCCACTTCCTCTCTGCTTCCCTCGTCAAAATAAAAGTCCTGCACATGTGCCCTATGTGGACAAAAAAAATGAATAACTTGTGGGGGCCTTTTATTTTGACATGAGGTAAGCAGAGAGGAAGTGGGTCTATAACAGACCCACGTTTGGGAAGTCTGTTCAATAATAATAAAGATTATCTATTATATTAAGATATTAGCATGACTGCTCTAACAATGGAAATACATGTCCTCAATGATGGAAGGCAGGCAGGAGGAGGCGAGATCAGGTGGGGCCATTGAAGCCAATGAGAGAGCAGATACACATGTGATCAACAGGCCATACAGATAGATAAGAGGTCTCATCTTTGTATCTGTGCCATTCAGGCTATCTCCATTTTAAAGTAGTCCATTTTCTTCTTCCTCATTGGCTGATTGCTCCCAACTTATAGGAATCCCCACCCAGTTGACTACTTTAGAATTGTGGAAGCCCTCAATAGCACCGTCCATGCTAAAGCGGGTTGTATCCATGATGAGTCCTCTATCTACTATGACAACAGGCACAACTCCGATATAAAGTAGTTTTTGGGTAAATTCCCGAAATGGCACGTGCGCCCACTTATATCAGTGCATTCCTAACAATTTAATCATTATGAAACGTATATTTGATCAAATACGCCTCATGTAGCAAATTAGCAATTACATTTTTTGTCGACCATATTCGACAGTTTCTCAATGACCTCCATACAAAAATTCCTAAATTCGTGCGTTTATTTTCGTCGACAGATTTTGGCCAGAGTAAAAACTCTTGCTTCGCCTCTCTTCCTATCTCATAATACTTACTTTTAGATATTTTGTCTCAAATCCCCCCCGTCATCATAACTAACTGTCCTGCCCACCGGCACAGTAAGTTGACATTTAATTTAACTTCTAGCTTCCCTCGGACTGTTTTTGTGCAACCCAATACAATAGGGAGCAACGGTAAATACACCCGCGTTGATAAAAGCAGCAATCTAGCCAGCTATCAAACGGCTAAGCTAGGTCCCCCTTTGCACATCTTTATGCTAACTTAGCAGAGCTGGAGAGCAATTAAATAACTTACTGTGCGGTTATATCGAATCTAACATCTCTATCCTCCCAGAGAACATCCAACATCGCTGCCATGATGTTAGAAAAACAACAGGAAGCTAATTTAGCTAAATCGTTATTACTAATCTTCTCCAGACAAGATGGCCAGCCCAAAGATTACCCTTCTTCCTCGTTCCTGTTGCCCTGGCAACATTACTACGGTATGCACAAGGGACAAACAGGACAACATAGAAAAGCAAACCGCGTTTCTTCTCGGTAGATAGCAAGCACAGTTCCCCTTGCTTATAATAATGCTTTTCTAGGTCAACGTGTGTCATCAGCACTACAAACACAGAATGTTAATTTGGCAACTTTACCTGTTCATCTGACAATAAATGAATAAAGAAACAAACACCACATTCAACGTTATAATAAAAACAAATACAAAACAATATCATCAAAACCAGTCAACTAAAAATGTGTGGTGATTAATAAAAATAAAAAAATCATCAACAGTGATGTGCAATTTCCAACCAACACATTTTACTTTGGCAGAAAAAGGCATAGTTGTATACTGTCACTTGTAGGCCTGGCGTATGTTACCCTAAAACTGACTAATTCATATAATTTAACAAACAATAAAAATCATTACAGCATCTGTTTAGTTTGCTTAAAAAAAAACCAACATATAGCTAGGCTACTAGAGAAATAATATATTCTAGAATCTATGACTATATTATTAGATATTCAGTGTGGAACAGCATAATGTGCTTATGGCTCAGAGGTTTGAGAATGTACATTGTGTGATGTATTTCTCATGTAAACCTGAAATTAAAAACGCTGGGTTTGAACCTATACCATTTGTTCAGTACAGTTATGAGGGTACCCCTTAATTAGGTGTGCTTGAGGAAAGCAAGAACAACATGAACAATTCGAATTATCCTTCTCCTGTAGCACCAATCCGTAAAAGCTACCAACACCAAATAAACGTTAAAACGTGCAGGCTGACTGTCTACAGGTTGATTGAAAAACAACCTTTTGATACTAGCCACTAATACTTTTCACACTACAACCATATTTGCACTTCACCAGTAGAGGGCAGCATACCTGCACCACAGACTTGTGAACAATTTATTCTCTCAATTCCACCAACACACATAGAACACGCGCAGTTTCGTCAGTGGTTGTTTTTACTTCAGCCACTTTTGCGCTTTGAACATTTCCTTTCTGTCTATCATATCATTCCATGCTGCTTTTGCAGAGGCCTCATCATGTTGTGGAAAGCTTTGTTAGCCAAGTCTAACTTTACAGCAGTAGGCCTAACTAGTAGGCCTAACCAGTGGCGGCTCCTGAAAAAATTCTCAGGGGGGGCAATTTTTCTGATGATTTAGGTGACCTACACACATTTAAAAAAAGATATGTCCAGCAACAACATGAAGACAGGGGCAGCATATAAATCAATACTGATATACACATTACTTGCTTCAAAAAGGCCTCATGGTTGAATTGGAAATATGTGCACCTGAGCATAATTCACAACAAGCAAGCAGGAGCTTTTGATAGAGGCTACTGAAAACATTGATGCAAGTTATTGGTAAAAAGAAATTTTTATAGACTTCCATATTCTGCCCTCTTGTATAGATTTGTGAAAATGAACAGTGATAGACATTTTGCCTGAAAACAGAATTTGAAAATAATTTCTAGAAAAGGTAAACACAGCTATCTGTATGGCTTTGTAAAAATGAACAACCATATTCTGGCCAATTGTATAGATTTGTAAATATGAACAACCATATTCTGGCCAATTGTATAGATTTGTAAAAAATTTTTTTTTTTACTTTTTAAAAAATGAAAAATAACTATTTTAAACAACATCAACTGTGAACTGATTTGGGCGTGTGTGTGTTAAAGAGACAGACAGGGAGGGACAAAGAGAGAGAGAGGCTACATTACTTGTACTGAAACTGTTCTAGCTTGCTGCATGATCAAATTCAGCTGATGCGCATAGCAATGCACGTAATGGGCATTCTTGAAATGCTTACGCACCTTTTGCTGCACACCAGCCTTCTCTCCCCTCACACTGGCTCCATCGTAAGCTTGCGCAATGAGTTTGACTTTCTCGTCGTCGGCAAAAAGACCGTTCAGTCTCTCCAAAAGCACACTGGCGATTGAGACTGAGGTTGATTCCGAGATGGGAAGGAACTCAAAAAAGCGCTCCTGCACTTTGTGGTTGCTATCTATGTACCTCAGCACAAGCACCAGCTGTGTCTGTGTAGAAACGTCCGTGGTCTCGTCAGCTTGGATAGCTACGAAGTTCGCCGACTTCACCTCCTCCACAATATGTTCCCTCATGACCGCTAGCATACACTCCAGTAGCTCGTTTTGAATGGTCTTTGATGTGCCCTTGAAAACTTTAGCATTTTTAAGATGGTCATCAAACACCTCATCTAATTGTGCCACAAAGTTGACAAGTCCAAGAAAAATACCAGGGTTGGTGGAGCCCTCAGTTTCATCTTTGCCTCGCAAAGCTAGCCATCTTGACAGTTGTACGTGAATTGATTGACGCTGCTACCCGCTCTTTTCTTAGTTATGTTCATGGTTACTTATGTTACGTATGACGAAAGCGCGTAAGTGCAAGCCCTCCCGGAACCCATAGAGATTGTATTGAAAGCTCTGATATTTGAAAAAAAAAAATATTTTACATGATAGTCTATGAGAGACTCCTGGGCGATTTTCAACCTGACTGAAATCGCCCCAAAAGGGGCGGGGCCATTTGAAGCACGACTTTAGCCTGATTGGACATTTAGTGGCAGATCAGACGTCTAGATTAGAACATTGAAAACTACTGTTGCCGTGATATAATTGATTAGAAAAAAATCCCTTCCTTTTCCCGTTTGGCAGTGCGTCGCCCATATCGCCCTAATGAACACACCGCCCCTGGGCCTAACTACCTAACTACCAGTAACCTGTTTGGTTTGTGTAGTACCTTAAATATCTGCTTGGTTTTCAGTACTTTTGTTGGACTTGATTTGATTTACATTTGTATGTTCACTGTTTTGTAAACATTTACAGCGTTACAAAATACAGCATGGAACCTTTCTGCAATTCCAAACTGTAGCAAATTAAATGTTTACACATTTTAGTAAAATTCTTTAGTATTTGACACTATTCAGAAAACAAGAATACAGTTCACTTCTATAAAATGTTTGATTACCATCTTGTATCATTTAATATATTTTACTGTATAGAAAAATATGGTCTATTGATGGTTATTGTTAGTATTTGTTGTGCCATTATGTCATTAATGGTGAGATTACCTAATTCGATGACAAATTATACTGTTTAGTAAAGTTTTTATTTTTATTTTTTGAAAGGTATTTTAAGTTTTGAGGGTGTTCATGCATTTTGGTAGAGACATTTCCATAAACAATCAAAATGTCTGATAAATGCAATTCAAAATGGCAATAATAACATTAACATACAGTACCAGTCAAAAGTTTGGACACACCTACTCATTCAAGGGTTTTTCTTTATTTTTATTATTTTCTACATTGTAGAATAATAGTGAAGACATCAAAATTATGAAATAACACATATGGAATCATGTAGTAACCAAAAAAAGTTACCAGCTTCACCTGGAATGCTTTTCCAATAGTCTTGAAGGAGTTCCCACATATGCTGAGCACTTGTTGGCTGCTTTTCCTTCACTTTGCGGTCCAACTCATCCCAAACCATCTCAATTGGGTTGAGGTCGGGGGATTCTGGAGGCTAGGTCATCTGATGCAGCACTCCATCACTCTCCTTCTTGGTCAAATAGCCCTTACATAGCCTGGAGGTGTGTTGGGTCATTGTCCTGTTGAAAAACAAATGATAGTCCCACTAAGCGCAAACCAGATGGGATGGCGTATCGCTGCAGAATGCTATGGTAGCCATGCTGGTTAAGTGTACCTTGAATTCCAAATAAATCACAGACAGTGTCACCAGCAAAGCACCCCCACACCATCACACCTCCTCCTCCATGCTTCACGGTGGGAACCACACATGCAGAGATCATCCGTTCACCTACTCTGCGTCTCACAAAGACATGGCGGTTGGAACCAAAAATCTCAAATTTGGACTCATCAGACCAAAGGACAGATTTCCACCGGTCTAATGTCCATTGCTCGTGTTTCTTGGCCCAAGCAAGTCTCTTCTTATTATTGGTGTCCTTTAGTAGTGATTTCTTTGCAGCAATTCGACCATGAAGGCCTGATTCACACAGTCTCCTCTGAACAGTTGATGTTGAGATGTGTCTGTTAGTTGAACTTTATTTGGGCTGCAATTTCTGAGGCTGAACTTATCCTCTGCAGCAGAGGTAACTCTGAGTCTTCCTTTCCTGTGGCGGTCCTCATGAGAGCCAGTTTCATCATAGCGCTTGATGGTTTTTGCGACTGCACTTGAAGAAACTTTCAAAGTTCTTGAAATTTTCAGGATTGACTGACATTCATGTCTTAAAGTAATGATGGACTGTCGTTTCTCTTTGCTTAATTGAGCTGTTCTTGCCATAATATGGACTTAGTCTTTTACCAAATAGGGCTATCTTCTGTATATATGTAAATTGAAAACACTATGTTAAAATCACTGTGTGTGTGATTATCCCTAACCTTGCCAACAGACAAAGAGCTATGAATGGATCAGTGGTTCACCAATCAGTGGCTCGGCAACAAGACGTGATGTGTAATACGTTTTTCTGAATGTTCTTGCAACATTCCCATGAAACATGTCTAGAACATTAATATCTTATGTTCTGAAAACATGGTAACCACGTTCTGGGTAAGTTCTATTTGACATTAAGGGAATGGTCTCTTGGAAACATTGCTTGCACATCACAGGAACATTCCTATGAAAACGTTAATGACTAAATGAGACTCTTAAGGGAACGTTCTCTAAAGTTGTGGGAATCTTTGTTGTTAGTTGGGTAGGTATTAATGATGGGAAAGATGTCAGTGGGAAAATACTGGACTGTATAGATCTTACAAACTTGCCTCTATGGTATGTGAGGGACATTGGACGACTGTGAAGACGCCAGGAGGTCCAGTGGGCAGGCGAGGAAGTACTTTGAACCCACATACTTTGTTCTTTATGATCATCATTGAGTATAGGCTTGCTTAGATGCTCTGTCTTAGCTGAACTCACTCTTAAATTAATTTCCCTTAAGTTTCACTT